CTAGTGGAAACAAGATGTTGAATAATATGCAGCATGCAAGAAAGAATCCGAGAAGGCCGGGTTTGGGGGCTTATTAAACCTTCGAATGCCAAAAATTAACATAACTTTCTTGGACGACTTGATGGCCGCTTATGACCTCTCCATCGATAGTTTCATTTTTCGGGGAAGGAGACTCCAAGAGGGTGTTCACCATCACACCCGAGGATGTGGCACATGTATACGACCTTTCTCTTGGTGGGGCTGATATTGAAGTCAAGCACGTTGAGGGGAAGATGCTTGCGAGTTTTAGCGATGATGTCGGCATGATTGGTAACCGGAGCCGCAATGTTTACCTAGTGGAGTTGTGGAAATTGGACATTCCAAAAGAAGGTTCTAGACCACCTATTGCTAGTCACTGGTTCATTGATCATTCCAACATATGCTCGAATGTGTCATCTGGACTTTGCTGCATACATAGGCGAGAGTGTTGAGAACGTTGGGGTGTACAATTTGTGTGCCTATGTTGTCCGTGAACTTAAGGTAGAGTTGGCTGCTGGCAAGAGAAAAGAACCAGCTGCTAGACTGCGTGTGGGTTCTCGGTGATGTCAACTTTTTGCTAGTAAGTTATAAGCTTTTTTATTTATTTAGAAATGAATTTCAAAACTTGTTGGTTAAATTGCATGAAAATTGCTTTGTGGATATAATTATAGTCACATATCATACCGTTTGTGTCGAATGAGGATAATAATTCTTTGAAATGCATGCAAACTGCCTTTTGGATACAATTTTACTCACATAGGATACCGTTTGTATTGAATATGGATAATAGTTGGTTAAATTGCATGAAAACTACTTTCTCGATATAATTTTAGTCACAAAGGATTCTGTTTGTATTGAATGTGGATAATAGTTGGTTAAAATGCACTCAAACTGCTTTCTGGATATAATTTTAGTCAAACAGGATACCGTTTGTATCGAATGTGGATAATAGTTGGTTTAAATGCATGAAAAATAGTGAGAATGTTATATGAAATAATTTTACTCAACTCGGATACTGACTTAACATTTACAAACTTTTTTTTATAGCTTTATTTGCTAGACTTCCTTAGCCTGGGAGGGTTACACACCAAGACCATTCCTAGCTGCAGCTTTTGCTGGAAACAAAATGTGGAGAAGGCATGTCTAGTTGTCCTCAAGGTTAACGGGGAAAGATATAACCTTGTTGTCGCTTTGCTAAGTAGGAAAGAAGTCGCCGCTCGGAACCAGCTCCACAACCAGAAGCCAGTTGGGAGTACTAGTGCACCAGGGGAGACCGGTTCAACTCCTCCTACAGCTCATGGACCGATGTCCAACATAGGATGGTGAGAGACTGAAGATTTGACTACCCTTCCCATATACCAGGTAAAATAATTTTATATTTGGTAACTTTTTTTGACAAAATTTTATCTTTGCTAATTAAGATAGTGCATTGGTAGACTTGGTTGCATATAGTAACCTAACTATTTTAAAACATATATGTAGCTTAAGGGATTGAAGAGCATGATTGAGAGCATGATTCAAAAGTGAGTGGGTTGAAGGGATAAGGTCCAAAAGATTGTCGAGATTTTGGCCCCAGAAGACAACATTTGAAATATTGTTTGTCGTTCTTTTTCTGGGTTGTAATTTTACTGAATGAGTTTTTGTAATTGCTATGTTGGAATGGCTTTGAATACTAGTAGTCAAAAATTATTTTTGTTTCATTATGGATTTATTTTGTTGTTCTGGAATATTATTTGGATTCATTTGGACATCAGTTTTTGTTTAAAAGTTAAGAGTACAATGAGAATTCATGTGGATATTAGTTTGGGAAAATTGGATAGTATTATGGGAATTATGGATACTATTCTGGATACATTAAACTTGGTCGAGCAACGAGTGGAGAATGCTGGAGAGGAAATGGAGTTGGTAAAGCCACAAGTGGAGAATACTTCCAAGGAAATTGAAGAGGATAATGTTGCAAGGTGTAGTGACGAGGTCGAACCACAAGTGGAGAATACTGTTGAGGAAATGGAGTTGGTGGAGTCACAAGTGGAGAATGCTGGAGAGGAAATTGAAGAGGATAATCGAGCAAAGATTGGTGAGGAGGTCGAGCCACCAGTGATGAGTCGGTGATGCAACCAGCTATAGAGATGCAGGTGGAAACTAGAGAGGAGGTGATGCATCCATCTACAGGGATACAGGTTGCTCCTATGGTGATACTGTACCAGGATCCGGCTACAACCTTCGAGCAAATTATGCAAATACCCATGATGCGGTTGCTGATGCTATCACACCTTTGTAGTGGCTTGAAACATTAAAGACCCCTGAGTTTCAGAGGCCGAAGAAGAACCCACTTGCTGCCTCATCAGTATATGTTTTGTCGAAAGTTGTGTCGACAAAGCTTGATCCATTAGCTCAACGTGTGGTTGAGTTCGTCTTGAGTACCAAAGATAAGAATGAGTAAGTTCTAATGGAGTTGAGATTTTTAGCTTGTCATTTACACATTAGTAACCTTTGTTTCCGTTTATGTTTTGTAGTAGCAACTTTGTCATGGAGGCTCCATTATGTAGACTAGCCCTTCCACACATGTTTACATTGAAGCGCACTGCTTGGGTCAAGACCCAAGTGATTGATTCATACGGGCATTATCTGAATGACAAAGCATTGATCGCCACCTAGGCATTATTTGAAACAAAGCACTGACCAAGGAGGTGGTGAATAGACTTATCTTCTCGTTCAGGTTTGTTGTAAGTGTGCTCTTCTCTCACACCTCACAATATTTAATTCAAAAGTATCTAATTAGGTTTTATTTTTGTTTTTAAATAGCAACATGTCGTTGAAGATTCTTAGAAGAAAGTGCTCGTGACGACGGGGAGACTCGATGGGATCGATCATTGCTTTGGCCAAGCGAATTTCACTGTTTCGACGTGGATCCCTTGAACATTGTGCATATGTAAGTGAATAGAAGGAGGATAATTGTGTGCGATACATGAATATAAGTATGGTTTTCTAGATCTTTGCCTGCGAATATCTGACAAAGTTCTATTTAGATACTTTTCTAAAATTAATGGGTATTATTGTGGTCTTTCTGGGTATTTGACTGTGAAAACTGAGTGTTATGTCTTGATACAATTATGCAATTTATGGATATTAATTTGGGTTTCCAAGATATTTGTCTGAGATTAAATGAGTGTTTTCTGTCTTGATACTTTTTTTGGAATGTTTAGATATCCTTTTGTTTTGTCTGGATTTTGGCTGTGAATATCTCAGCAAGTTCTTTTGGGATACTTTTCTGAGAGATAGAGATATTATTCCGGGTTTCTTGGATTTTATCCTATGAAAACTAACTATGTATTCTGGGTTTCATATCTTTTTCTTATGCATGCAAAACAACACTACCGAGTCTATGCTGCTGATCTAAGGAATAAGAAGACTTTCCTTCTAGACGGCCAAAAATCGAGTTCCGAAGCAGCCAAGATCAATCATGCTCCAATAGGGAATAAGATATTCTACTATGGGACAACCTTCCTAGCAAGCCAAAACATAGATGCTCCCTTGGATAAATGGGATTTTTCTATTGCGGATGTTCCTTAACAAGTTGAAAAAAATGATTGCGGCGTGTTTGCATGTTGTACAGGGAGCACTGGGCGAGTCATCTTCCATCGGAGTACAAACAAACTTGGCACCAGTAGGAGCACGTGGACTACCAACGAGCATTGATTGCAGCCACCCTTCTTCTATGGCACTATAACCTCAACAAGGAGGAAACAATTCGGTGAGCAGACGAGTGAACGACAGAAAAGGAAAGAGAAAGTAAAGAGAAGAGAAGGATAAATTACCAGCCCAACAATTAGACATATATTAGTGTAATTAGTTTCAAGTGAATGGGTTATTTTGGGGAAAAGTAAACATTAAATTTATAATGATTGCTAGTTTGACTAAGAATGGATATCCTTTTGTTCTAGATTGGATATTAGTTATCTGAAGTATTCATTGGACATTTTTCTTGGTAAATCGGATAACACTCTCAATCGGATACATGTCAAATGATAAACATGGACAAAAGCTTAACACAACAGTAGATAAAGACAGGAAATACTGTTTCATCTCTTCACAATAGTATCCTTGGTGTTATCTTCATCATCCGACTATAAAACCTTGGTGTTATCTTCATCATCCGACTAAAAAAACACATGGAACGTTGATTTGGCGAAATCCACGTAAAACCCACACCCCTTATCATTTGTCTTCCTTGTACATTGGATATTGGAAATATTTCCTCGGTAGGTTGAATCCATCAACAACAAGTCGTTTACTGGCTCTCCAACCATGGTAACAAAGCACACAACTATCATATTCGAACTCATCAACCATGACCTAGTGCGCAGGGTGTGCAGGTTTAGGAGTCTCTCCAGACATGGACTTTGCTTGGGAGGAGAAGAAGAAACTGAGGAGGAGATAAGATGTTGTCTGAGTATGAGAATTTTCTTAAATAGACAAAGTGTCACATGGAGATAGTTACCAAAGTGTCCCTTGAGTATAGAAACAAAAGGCTCACATGAGAACAATAAAAAACAGTCACATGCGAATAGTGAAAGAAGTTATCATTCGTATTATATGGAAAAATCTGAAAACATAACTAGATATTGCGCTAGTGAAACTGGATACTACTAATTTACATGGGCATACAATTTATAACAATACTTTATACTTGTTCCTTTCATCAAAAATACAAACTAATATCAACATAACTAAGATAAATATCCGCACAAACAAACATATATAAATATCCCTTGTCATTTACGTCCAACCAAAACACTAAACCCTAAACCCTACGTCCAACCAAAACCCTAAACCTTGAACCCCAAACCCTAACCCCTAAATTGTAATCAATTTGGGGTAGTTCAGTTATTTTGGGGTTTGGTAAACATTAGTTTAAAGATAGATACTGGCTTGGTGAAACTGGATACTAGTGGCTTACATGGGGATACTATTTATAACAACGTTGAATGACTTGTTTATTTCATGGAAGATACAAAATAATATCAAGATAACCCATGCTAATATAGACTGAAAAAATATAAATATCCAAACGTCGTAAAGTTATATCTTGAGATATCACAATAGTATCCGATAGGTACATACTAATATCCGTCCATTATATATATATCATATGTTCATAAAAAACAAATATCCATACCAACCAGAATAATATCTGATTACATAAACTAATATTTGTCTATCATTGAACCATTTCCGCAATATCATCTTCCAAATCACTAAGATGGTCATCCAGTTGATGATTGTTGTCCAGCGTGAGCACTTCGACTGATTTCAGTCTCTTCCTATAGACAGGTTTCTTTTGACGATGTTCTTTTTCATTCTCAAACTGATAACGTTCCTTGTCGTGGCTCCTTGAATTACTCTTCTCCTTCAAAGTCAACACACTTATCGGTACAGACTGTCCTACAATGTCAGAGAATATATTACAACATGCAATGATATTAAACTCTAACATGTACAAATGATATTAGTGATTACACTTACTGTCCTTGCTAATTATAGTCTTTGACAATGCCTTGTTTGCCTCATTGCATACTTTCTTGAATGCTCCCATCAACTTGTTGAGTACATCATTCTCACTGGCGGCAACTGAAGGACCAACTGAACAATCGACATCAACAACCTCTTTCTTTCTCGCCTCCAACGTCCATCGCTTGAATATGTAATGCTCTGGAATACTCCTCAAACTAGCATTCCCAAAATCTCCAAGCAAACGCATCACCTTAATCATGTGGCCTCATAACACCCCGAAAGTCCTAAACATCCTGCATTCGCATACTAGCGTCCTCGTAGAAATATTGACGAGAATGACACGCTCGTCATTATGCTCACCATACTCCATTCTATATGTGAGCTAGCCAATCATGTCATTGTCCCTAGTATCGGAATGCGTCTCCATTTGATATGATTCAGTTTGCAAATAGTGCTCATGTATCTGGTTAAAGATGATAGGAGTAATGATCTTTGTTGTATGTTGGAGGATCGAGCTATGCTCCAACATTATATAGGGAAGCGATTGTTTCCCATTGTAGTCTGGCTCAGTCTCTTTGCATTTTCTTTTCAGCCAACAAACTACAATTAGGAAGCAAACAAAAAGAGTTCATAATATCCACTAAAACGACACTAATATCCTACCAACACAAAGTAATATTTAACAAATGCATAAAAATATACATGTGAAACACAACAATATCCACACCTGACACAATAATATCCAACAATGGAAAACTAATATATGCTTACGTACCTACTAAAGTGAATGAAAAACAAGTCCAAATCATGCCTCGGTTTCAAGAAAAGTCGCAGATGTGCATTTCACGACTCACTTGCTTGCGTAGACAACATTTTGGCTAAGGATTGATCTCTCATCCATAAGGAACATCATCTTTGACGAAATTTCTTCAAATATTCCAACCATGGGCGGCCGTCCGCAATTTCGCTATTAGGCAAACATTCAACAACCATGACGCTCCATGCCATGCTGAACTCTACCTCATTGTCGATGTCGTAGAAAATAAAAGAAAGATGATTTTTGAACTTCTTCTAAAATCTCTAGTCCTTAAGAAGATGCTTCTTGGCATTCATTAGGATGTGCCAAGTACAGAGCGAATGAAACACATTAGGCCACTCCTTTCTAAGGGCAGCTGCCATGGCAGCGTCCAGATAAGTAAAAATGGTGACTAGGGATGGCAATCAAACCCATGGCCGCAGGTACCTAACAGCCCCCTACCCAGTCAACGCGGGGAATCCCCGTTTTGAATGGGTATGGGGCGAGTATGGGTAAAACCCGCAAAAGTTTGATGGGTATGGGGTGGGTATGGTTTTAGCCTCCCCGCCCCACCAAGAGAATTTCTTCACATATAAAAAAATATGAGGATCAAATTGTAATATATCAATGATGATGATGATGACTCGAGAAAATAAATAGTAGAAATGCAATTAAGTGACCACCTTAATCCAAACATAATTCATTTCCCTCAATTCTCCTTTCACTCTTTCACTTTCACCCTTGTCAACAAGATTATGTTAGTTAATTATTACTTAGTAGATGTATCAAAGTTAGAGCATAATAATTTGAAAATACTGTACTCTATATTTTGTATTAATGGATGTTTTAGGATCATATTCTTTGAACCTTATTAAGAAAATGACCGTGTTTTGTTGGCTTCATGACATAATACGTTCGTTTAGAGTTATAATTAAAAAATTTCTTGTAAGTTTTAGGTATAATAATGTTGGATGTAAGGGGACGGGTATTACCCATGGGTACCCGAAACCCACAGGTATGGGGATGGGTTTGCAAAACATTCTCCGCATGGGTATAGGGAGGGTATGGGTTTGGGTATTTGAAGATGGGGATAGGGATGGTTTAGGCAAACTCGCCCCACTGCAATACCTAATGGTGACTGAGAGCTTCTTCTTCGTGCACTGACTAAATGCAACAAACAACCACTCAAAAGAAGGAGTAGTCTCGTCTTACAACAAACAAGCACCAAACACACAAGTTTGATGGTGTTGATTGAAACCTACAAACACCCCTGCACAAGACAACCATGTAATAACAATGCATAACCGAACAAGTGTCCAAAAAACTCAAAGGAATTAGGTGATTCACGTACCCAGTGGACGGAAGTATTTGTTGGTCTAGAAGGTCATACCAAAGGAGACCGAGTCTCCAAAACAAAGCATAATCTTTGCGCATCCTACTATCCGCAAAAAAAATATTAGCAACTTTCCTCACAATCTACCTCTACAACATAGAAGAAGTCGGGATGCTTCTCCTTTTGGTCCTCAAAGTAGTTAAGCAAATAAGTCGCAGACTCGCTCTGACTATCACAATAAAATCCCACCTAAGGTCCAAGTATAAACCATAGATGGGTGCAATATAGAGCAAGTATGTTTAAATATTGACCCGGACCGGTCTATGTACTGCTACTTTGACTGTTTGAAACATTATCTACGAATCAGTTTTGGTGAAAACAAAGGTTTAAAACTAAATTACTTTGCAAAGGTAAAATGGATTTGACTCTAGTTGAGAAAAATTCACTCAGGTGTTGCCCCCCCTAGCTAACAATTATGACTTGAAGAATCGAAGGAAAGTGTGTGGTTAGGGGGTCATAAACCGCAGAGAAGTCTAACAAGAAACCAAGGTTACCCTATTAGACTCTAGGTTGAGGAATGGGATACGATCCAAGCCACTGATGTGACCCTCTCAACTTATCAACTACGGAATGGTTAGACTTCACCCTCGAATTGGAGTTCGGACGACCACCCACAACCAAACCCTAAGTGTTTAATATGAATTAGGAGGTTTTCCATTTAACTAACCTAGACTAAGAGGCATAGAATGCCTAAGGAAACTCATCTCTAATAGAGCCTCTTAAGTTAAAGAGGGTTCTCTCTAACCTAGCTTAGGAGGCATTGAATGCCCAACAAAACCCATCTTGAAATGAGGCTCTTAGGTTAAGGAGGGTTCTCTCTAAACTAGTTTAGGAGGCTTTGAATGCCCAAGGAAATCGAACCTCTTGGGTAAAGGAGGTTTCCTCTCTAAACTAGCCTAGAAGGCATGAAATGCCCAAGAACCCCATCTCAATATTGAGCCTCTTAACCTAAGGAGGTTTCCTCTCTAAGCTATCATAGGAGGCATGAAATTCCCAAGAATAACTAGTGAACCTCCTAACCTAAGGAGGTCTCCTCTCTAATCTAGGTTAGAATTGCAATTAGATTGATAGGCTTTCACACAACACAATCATTTCTGAATAATACCTGCACATTCACATTAAAACACAACCACACACAAATCATTCAATTCATACAAGCATTCACATAATTGTAGCTAGGGTTTACAAACACCCAAGTGAAAGAAGGGAATACTCCATGCTAGGAGAAGGGAAAACACAAAAGAGGGAAAGGAAAACCATCATGAAGATGCAAGTCTTGCTCCTTGTCCTGAAGAAACCCCAGATCCTTGCTTGGAGATCAAACCATAGCTTTTCCTCTTCTTTGGTTCATCACTTTCTCACTCTAATATCTGAAGAAGGAGAAGTTTTCTCACTCTATGTCTCTCCCACTTTTCTTCTTCCCTTCATCTTTCCTTTTTAGTGGGAGATCGCGCTGAGTTCACGGTGATTTCATGGCCGTGAACATTGAAAGGCGTCAATGAACTTAGTGTTGCGACCAAAACACACCGCTTCATTTGCTCGGGTTCACGGTCAGTGGCCTCTGTTCACGGTCTTAGCGACCGTGAACTACCTGGTGTCAGTAACTTGAAAACCTCCTTTGTTTGCTCCTCACTTCACGAGTCATGGATCCAGTTCACGGTCTTGTAATACCGTGAACTCCAACGTCTGGCCGTGAACTGCGGCTGTCTCCACCTCTTTGCCCAGTCTTTGCTCCTTTTCTTCCAACTTTTCTTCCGAAACACACTAAAGCACAAGCAAAATCACGTAAAACCAACCTTTTTGGAGTTCAATTGCAACAAACATAAAAGAGAATCGGGGATAAAAAAGTGTACAGTTAGGCCCAATCACTCCCCCACACTTAGACGTTTGCTTGTCCCCAAGCAAACCATTTCACACAAGGTAATATCTCAACCTAACAAAATGCTTTGGGGACAAATGAAAGGGCACAAAGTGGCGAATCTCAATGGCTATTGGCAATTAACACGTGGACCGTTGGAAGCAATACCAACATCCACCAGAAACGACATTCGAGGTCACCAAAAACGGGCAAACGAAAAGTTCTTACCTTGTTCATGAATCAATGGAAGTCTCATCAAGTTCACTTATAAACCACAACTAACAATGCATAACATTCAATTCCAAGGAACGGACGAATGGGCAACAAAGGTCCTCATCGGGGTATGATATGGCATACAAAGCAAGAATGAATCACTCACTCTCTTGACCAGTGGGGTCAAGACCTTTTTGGTGCAAATAATCTGCACAATCATCAACACTTGGCCCTATCGTCTCTTCACCACAGTGGCAACCTCTAAAGGTTAGAGTTCACGGACGGTTGTCATCACTAACTTGTCCGGAGGTCTTAGACATGGGTTCAAATGACTAGTAATTGTCTTGGACATGGGGAAATGGATTTTTGGGTGGTGGCAAATACATCATGAGGTCCTACATCTTCACCCTTAACCCGAAGTTTCTATGGTTTCGGCTAAGAACCCTCCCTAAAAACAATGGCCACTAGCATCGGCCAAAAACCTTGCTTCTCCCTTCCAACCTATCACCCATCATGAATTACCTTTAAGCGTTCTTCCTCGGTCTTTCTTGCTATCACATTTCAAATTGGTAGTGAAGGAGTTCTAAAACACTGTTGTGGAGGTTTCAGTGGCTTGCTTGCCAAGAAACCCCACTTAGAGCATACTCTTCGAATCTTTTGTGGCAATCTCTACTTTATTGACCCTGTTTTATTACCTCTTTTCGTTTGTCTTCTTTTTCTTTATTTCGAATTTCCTTTTCTAATCTTTTTGAGGGGGTACTAGTGATTTAAACATTTTCCACACTACTTTTAACAACCAATGCTCTCTTTTAAGAACTCACTCCAACACTACTCTTTTCTCTTTAATTCCTAGCAAGAACCGCACACAATCCTCCTATGTAGAACCTCAATGGAACTCAAAAGCGAGAGCTCCGAGACACAAGGACGACACACGTATAAACATGATGAAAGGATGGGGGGTCGTTCTATAAAACACCATTAAAATCACAAGCACAAAGCTTCTAATCATGAGAACGACCCCCAAAGTCACAAAGCTCAAAGGGGTTGACTAGGGGATAAAACATTTCGGGTCAATCAACATTTGAGCGTGGACTAATCCTATGCCTCCATCATACTCACTAGTGACAACTGTGATGTTACTCGCCATGATAAGAGGGATCTAAGCACACAAGAAGAAAACGATCGACTAAAAACTCACATGGCTACCTAGTCACCCAATCGTTCATTCCACCTCCATAAAACACAATGCATGTCAATTGCAATCAACAACTAATCGAGTTAAGACATCCATTCGGCAATTGAAATCAATAAGTAATCGAGTCAATACATCTATTCATTTTTGCACACATTAGAACTAAATGTTTGCACTATCCTAATGCACCTCTCAGCCATCATCATATGACACACTCGATCACATGCAATAATTCAAGGTCAATGCCAATAAACATGAGATTCTCCTACAAACCGGCCACTTTGATCATGCAAACATTGCTTGGAGCCCTCAAAATTTTCAAATTTGGGCATACATCAAGGCTCCAAGCATCAATTACACTCACACAAGCATGAGAATAAAATAACCCCCCCCCCCCCCCCCATACACACACACACTTAAGTTCGACATTGCCCTCAATGGCGTAAGATAGGGGTAGAATAAAGTTACCGCTTTGCTTGGTGAGTGAAAGTTGAAATTGGTTCCGGGGTAGGAGATTGAAGCTTCAAGGAGAAGACAAAAAAAAAACACACACACACACACACACACAAACACAATACAACTCACTCGAGGCTAGGTTATTACACATCACAACATGATAGTTGTAGTTTATGATCACAGACACAAAATAAAAGGAAGAAAAATAAAACATAAGAGTTCAGAGTTCCAAGTGGAGTAGTGGGGCGAAAGGAATCGGCTCTGCCACATATCTCCCTCGTCAACAACCTCTCACTAGGTCGAAGGCCCCGACTCATCATATGGAATGAGGCCGTGGCGACGAGCCATCTACTCAATGATAAAGCACCAGGGGGTGCTTTGTGATCATAATTACGCACCAACGGATCAATTCAAAGGTGGAATTGATTAAACGAAATTTCAAACAAAAAATAAGGATGTTCTTGGGTGTTTGGATAAAACGGAATCAAACATGCAATCTTTCACGTGGAAGAAGGCTCGAATTATATAAAGGTAGATGCTCGCCCCCGATCGATGTGGTTTTGATCGATATAGAGCTAAAATGAGCTTGGAATCCACCAAAGCTCTCACAAGTACGCAACTTGCACAAAACCTAAAGGTTTCTTTTCGATTAATCAAAGTCTGAATTTTACAACGAAAAAGAAAGGTATTTAAAGGCAAATAAAACGTAATGCGATCCTAAAATAAAAAGGAACCATTCAATTAAAAGACTACCATAAAAAGGTTACAAGTTTCGGACTAAAACTCCTTTTCTTGAAGCACAAGTAAGCTGCCAGCAAACAGTCCAAAAATAGTTTTCGTACTAACTTCGGGCCTTTTGTTCGAGACCTTTCAGAACTCAAATCTTTCATCCAATTCCTTCCCTTGGTAGATAAACATACCTATTTTCATGTTGTAGAAGCCTTTGGACTTGAATCCCTTCAATGCTCATCGAATTGAGCTCTAAAGTAGGCTTCATGAACACAGATTTATACTTAGACAGATTCTAGTAGTTTTCCTGTTTTGAGGTAGCAACTCTGAGGTCTTGGAAAACCACCTTCTGGACCTTCCCTGGAGCTTCCAAGCACTCTAGCTTGTAGATGTACTCTTCAAATTCAAAACAAATCCTTAAACATGAATTTTCATCGAACCAATTGTAAGAACCATGCCTCCAAAGTAGGTATCTCGAAACTTTTCCAACACTTAACCAAATTCTGCCCTTCTTCTTCCCAACTTCGTAGCTTCTTCACCAAGTAATTTAAACGTGTAGATTTGGCTATTTGGGATCATATCAGGCCCCTCTCTTCAAAAAGCTTTGCCCTCAAAGCTTGTTCTTTCCTCTTGTTATAAACTTCGCAGAATTGATCCCAAAGTGGATCGTAAGTAGGCTGCTAAAATACAATCTTTGGCATAATCATAGCAGCTTCAAATTCATAATCAATCGCATCCAGCAGGTTTGGAGCTTGCAGTGTGTTTTGAAACACATTCTGGGGTTGAAATAAACCTTCATCGACGATTAATTTTTCCTGAACGTGGTCGGAACAACCATCACGTCATCGGACTTCCCCCTTACATATCAACTTGCTCGACCAAATTGGGCCTTTTTGTTTCGAGGATCCCCAACACAATTCATCGACTCCACGCTCTTCTCTAGGCTTCCAATTGAAGTTTGGGTCACTTTTCCAGTCACAAATCATCACCGTCGTCTTCAAATCCGTTCCTCTTCCTTTCCCGCCGTCGGACAATTTCAAACCCAGATTTTCAAATTCGAAATTGGGGGTTTTCACTCCAAGCATCTTTGAGTGCAATTGATGGATCCTACAAGTTCCTGGCATCTCCTTGGACGATTCCGCAACGCTGATTTGGCTCTTATTGGGCTGAATTGCGCTATGTATGAAGAGGTCCACATCGCCATTATTTCCCACAAACAGAGTGATTTTTGTAGAATCGATTCTGCAACTCCAGGTATGTTCATCCTCATTGAGGCTACGGATGAAGTTCCTGAGGTCGTAGGGAACATGTCAGCATCGGTTTTTGGGCTAGACTCATCGCCGTCTGCTCTGGCCACGAGAGGGTCATCATTTCCGCTTTCCTCCACGAACAAAGCCAATTTCCTGAGGATCAAATCTTCGATTTCAGGTACGTTCGACTCCAATGTTTGGACTTTTGACGTTGCTGGGGTCTTGGGGATCGCGTCAATACCGTTGGCGAGTTTCGACTCTTCGCCAGTGATTACACCCACGAGAGCCCTGTTTGGACTCTGTTCCCTCAGCGCAGGACAGTCTGATGTCATTGCGTCAACGACTCGACTTGACTCTGTCCGTCCCACGATGGAGCACCGCTGCAGATTCACCTGAAAATGGCAGGCCAACCTCGTGATGATGCCCCCCATATGCATGGTGTCCAACATTTTCCGCCCCAGACATCAGGCGAAAGAGTTGGCAATCAGTGATCCCAGGTGGATCGGCTCTGCTGGATGCCTCATGGAAAAGAGAGCTAGCAGCCCTGTATTCGTGATCAGATGTCCCGACTGTAGTCTAGGGATGATAGAACAGGTGAGCAGGGTATGCAAGATCCTCCAAGGGGTCGTCAACTCTACCGCATGGGTGCGGCTCGCCTCGTACTCCTCGAGCTCATGCTCTGGACGAGTGACAGCCTTGAATGCAGCATGATAGTGGAAGTCAGATGTGTACTGCCGCTCCATCATCATCATGTACGTCGGGTCGAGCCCCATGGGCTGGGCGAAGGAATCATAGGTAAGCACTCGAGGCTAACGTCCCAGCATAAACTCCACATATGGCCGGCTCTTCTTGTCGGTCGGGACGACATGGACGAACGTGGAGTAGAACTCCACGCAGGGCTTGTGGTGGATGAGCTCATCAATAGAGAGCAGCATGCGCTACTAGGGGTGACAGACGACCCCTGACATTGCAGCTCGACACCTGAACATTTCAAACATGTCCATGTCGAGCCGTTAATGCTGCCTAATCGGGTTGTTCCGCTGCTATGCGAACTTATCTCCGAACCGAGCGTGGTTCACCAGGTAACTAATTAACTCGTGCTCCACGTTCAGCATCATGCAAAATCGACAACCATGCACCATACGTCGAAATAAACGTCAATCACAGCTCATTGGGACGAAAAAGAATTCCTCCCACGCTTAAATTTCCCATACGTATCCATGCTAATCAAAACAATTAAGCTTAAGCACACCGCGACACTGTTCTAGGTGGTCACGGATTATCACACAAAATTTCAAACCCGAACCATGCCACGGTGGCTACCAACCACCACTCAATCAAACATTTCTCATCATTCAACAAGTAGCACTTAGTGGGCAAATTTCGCAAATACAAGCTATTCGAATTAAAACATGTCCACCAAGGCTTAAAATAGCTCAAGCAACATCATTCAATCACCTGAATTCACCTAATTTCTCGCCCTAATTCTAAGTTCAACATTCAATTCACTAAAATTTTCCTCGCTTCACTACCTAATCCGATTCTCCCAAAATTAATAAGATAGAGCTGAAAACCAATATGGAGACTCAAGTGGGATGTAGGAGGAAGTGAGGTGAGGGGGAGGATGCTGAAAATTGGCCAAAAACAAACCGGAGAAGGGTTGTCGAAAGCTCGTCGGACTCCCGTCGGAGGCACGCTGGCGGCGACTTGCAAATCTCCCCAAAATCTCGACGAAGGCCGCTTTTGATGAGAGGAGAATGGTTTGTGCTTGGTTTTGGGTTTTGCTCTCCGGAAATGGGGGAACTGGCCAAAAATTGTCGGAATCTTGCGGTTTTTCGGCGAGATTTGAATTTTTTGGCAAGTTTTGGGTCGTGAAGTGGAGAGTAAAATTTCACACCCCTTTTATAGGCGAGGCTAGCAGTTCACGAACGCGTTTGCCATTTCACGGTCTTAAAGACAGTGAACTCTGCAATCCGTCCATAAATTGGGGATGGTCGACAAGTGTTACACTCGTGGAAGTGCCCGGTTCACGGACGCATTTTCCTGTTCACGGTCATGTAGGACCGTGAACTAGGCAATCCGTCAGTGAACATCAATGAAAACAGGGCACTTCTGAAATTTTTGACTCGACCTATTCCACCATGCCTTTTATCAATCACGACACAACCTCAAAACGAACAACCACAAAACGTGGCACGGGGTTACTACTCAGCCACTAGAACTCTTCACTTGACACACAAAAGCGGAAAATAAGGAAAAGAAAACAAATCCCACATCGACAAAGCACGTGAGAGATCCATGGTTCATAAGTAAGAAACCGACCTTAACTGACAAGACGCATTTTGGGGTATAATGGAGGAGTTCTTGTGAGAACTGCGAAGTTAAACGTGCTCAGTGTGGAGTACAACAAGGATGGGTGACCTTATGGGAAGTCACCTTGAATTGCACTCCAAGTTGAAAACCGTAAGGGTCGAGGGCCCAAAGCGGACAATATCTTTGTCGGGAAAAAGTTCGGGATGTTACACGTGGCACGGGGTTACCACTCGACCACTAGAACTCTTCACTTGACACACAAAAAAGAAAATAAGGAAAAGAAAACAAACATCCGTTGGGTTGCCTCCTAACAAGCTCTAAGTTAACGTCACTAGCTTGAAGTTGCGGATCTATCATGTTTTGGAACCTGATGCCACCGAGAGTGGATCCGCCATATTCTCGGGGCAAGGCATGTTGCCTTACAACTTAAGTTCCATCGGATGGACTTCTTGGCCGATCACTTTTGCCTTTCCCTTTTTCTTCCACCAACTATTAACACAACTTAACCTTTCCCTCCATGCTACCTTCTTTCTTTCTTTCTTTGGGGGAGATGCCCTCCTTGCTTCCCTGCTTCACATCATCACAAGCACCAACAATAATATTGGGGTTCGCCTTGCAAGGCTTCCCTCCACTTGCATTCATATCACCTGGTTCAACTTCCTTCACTTCCTCACTCCTACACTTATGATCAATTCCAAGAGCAATTCTTTCCTCACCATATCTCAGAATCAAAGTTCCCTCATTTACATCAATTAATGCCTTGGCGGTGAGCACAAAGAGAGAAATGGAAGAACAAACGGAAAAACAAAAAGGAAGACTAAGAGAGAGTGAGAGAACACAGTTAGGGGGGGGGGGGGGGGGGGGGGGCCTCTTCTGTTGAGTTTTGATTTATGTTAGGAGAAGACATTATATTTGACAAATTTTTTCATTTCAATTTTTTAAATCTTAAATCTATTTTATAATTTGGATGATTTTTCCTTAATACGATTATGGTAATTTCTTAGGTTTAAGAGGTATTTGATAATGTCAATATTTTAGTGGTTTTTCATTTAAAGTTTGAATTGAAAGATCGTACATACCTTCGGTTCAACAATAAAACTTCACACCATAGGCTAAAATCGATAGGTGATATTTAGCAATATGAAACAGTTGAACCACAGTTAAATTATGATTTCAGTATAAAATACTCTACTATCAACTTTTTGGAGACGATTTTACAATCTTTTGGTTCCAACAATTCTTTTACACTGGTGAAAACAAAAGTTTTAAGGCGCATTGTGAACAATTTATTGCAAAAAAACATAAGTCAGTTAGTGAGAATGGAATATGCGATCTCATTCAACCCAAAAGACATTTTACAACTTTTATATTTTGAAAATATATGTATGCTTCTCATACACTCGCTCATTCATCAATTTAATGAGTAACATATATTTCATGTAATATGAATTTTATAGGTTTTTATTTATTGAATTATTTCATGAAAAAATATTTGTTGCATGAAAATTACTAAATTGTTGCTAGACATGTCTGCAATCTGAGAATAATTTGGTAAGTTCGTACACAACACATTGTCCAAGTAACTATTAGTAACAAGTTAGCATCATGTCTTATATATTTCAAATCAAGCAACTTCAGATTCATTACCAAGAGTATGGTAAAAAAGAATGCTCTATATTGGGAAAAACTTAAAGGACATACTAAACTCTAAGAGAGACATTTTGTTTCATCATAAAGGTTGATTATGTATGTGTTACGAGAAGCAACTCTAATATTCAACTACATATGGTTTAATTAAGTAATGAATGACAATTAGTTATATTTATTTCTTTTTTTCATTCAATAATTATATATAATGCTTATATTATATATATTTTTTCTCTTTTCATGGAGGTCTAAACACATTATGCATAGTTGGATCGCTATCAAAAATCTTATGGGCATAACTAAGGTAGAAAACAATAATTTCATACATTTCAAATCATCTGTTATATCGATTATTATATATCATATTTCTTGATAAAATTCTTCCGGCCAACGGGTCGGGGTGCTAGTTTTTTTATAAAAGAAAAAGGCAAATAGAGTTATCAAACATTCTTCTTACTCCCTCTCATAAAATCACTTGGAAAGCATGTACATATGTCGGTTCTGCCTTGATAGTTGATATCCTTGACAAAGATGCTTTCAACAATGAGAGAAAGTTAATTTTATGTGCCACCAATTTGCATTATGTGTGAAAAATATAAGAAAAGGTCAAGTTCACTATATTATTATGACGTAGTAGTACCTGTGGCATATAATCGCTGTGTCCAGTGGCCAGTGGGAGGTGGTTGGGAGGACGTGTCCTGGTTGAGATTAGTAAGCGTTGTCGTAGTATCTAGCGAGAGAGGATTTGATAAGTTGACTTAAGAACAACAATAGCTCATAACATTGGTACAAAATGTGGAAATAATTTCAAAAATTGAGAATAAAAATTGCTACTTCAATTGCAGCTTAGACATACTGGGTGAAAGAGTTATATATAGCGGGCAAATGAATTACACCAACAGAATATATGATAAATGAATTACAGATCAGGTAAAGGTGAGCCTGGTTGCAGTGCATATTTAATAGAGGAAGAGTTCTTAAAGCAATAAAATCTATCAAATTAGAAAGAACCAAAACTTAGCTGACGCTGGAGGGACTAATTCTTGACTACCCACAAATGAAAGACACCATTGGAGAAACAGCAGCAGTGGGGCATAAGGTTATTGGGACACTTCTGTAGCAGGTTCAATAGTCGCCAATGTTATATATGTTAGTGTAGTTTGAATTTGGATTGATTGAATATGGTTGTATACTTGTATATGACTAAGTTGAGTTATGTTTTGACTCAAGACTCTCGATTACAACACGACTAATTGGTTAATTGAGATCGAAGGCTACAACACTCACAACTACAAAGCAACGAAGGCAAATTTGGGTCATTTCAGAATATATATGCAGTAGTTATTACCGAATAGTTATGCGATTGAAGTAAGGAATCAAACTTCAATCCATAGTGGTACGGGGGCAAGAAAAGAGGAAGGAAAATTATCTCGATGGAGAGTAAAGAACGGAATGAACAATTCAAACAAAAGCGTCAACTTCTACTCAATCACAGTGAGAAATACAAACAGAGGCAAGCATCACATTAAGTATCTAACTTTGTTTGAAACAAACAAAGTTTGCAAGTTGTTAATACATTTTCTCAATATATATACAAATAAGGCAGTAATTTACAAATTTAATGACTGAAATGAATTTTAACGTACCTATTAAAAACTCATCTCCCACAAAAGATTACCTATCTAAACCCCACTAGCATTGGGCCCGGCCCGTTGGCTGGTGTTTTATAAAATATGTATGTGATTTTTGTTTTATTGATAATGAAATATTATAAAAATAACATTATACTGCAAGCAAACTCAAACTCGAAGTTCATTATGTGGAAACTTTCAAACGCACATCTCAGCAAAAGTGTATAATGTAGGTAAATATGTAATGTTTATTTTATTCATGCTTTGATAAAAGACCAAGTTGCTTAACATTATTGAGCCCAACCAATTGGCCAATGAGTTTAGCTTATTATTATTATTATTATTATTATTATTATTATTATTATTATTGCGACACCCAATTCTCATTTCTCAGCATTGTGGTTGCTATAACATGACATCGGAGACTTCTTTGCTTCAAAATTGATAATTAATATAATTATCTTTTTATTTGAGACATAGATATTAAGTTAGCTGAATAAAGTTATTGAGATTTCTATCCCTTCAACTTTCTATTCACATAACATAATACCAAGGATGGAATACAGAAGCAAACAATTGAATAGGAGATTGTGATCAATGATCTTCAAGCTAGGGAAAGCTCTATCGTTATTAGAAACACCAAGACTTACCAATTACAATAAGCAAAGCAAAGAATCACTTCAGAACTATAAAGTTTCAAACTAACAATTTCCGTAGATTAAAAATATCTATACCTACCTTCTCTTCCAAATCTACTGCTAGTGCATTGCGGCTGCTATGACTTCTTTATGGATGTATAATGATCCACCAACCCACTAACCCATCTACACCAACCAATAAACCCTTAAACCTATTAAAATCAATTCATGAATCCACTGAAGCAGAAACCCACTCACGAACCTAATCCATTTGCCTGGCACAATAGGAACATTTAACTTCTGAACAGTTTCCCTCCCTTCATCCATCAGTGCGATTCCATATTTTATCACTCATTCCAAACTTCTGATTTTCTAGTGGTTCTTTCCTCAATCAACCATACCACATCTTCTTCCTCTAGTCCTGCCCTTACCAATGCTCCCTCTCTAAGCCGCTGCAAAACTTGTATACCATGTAAGTTGGTTGATCTTAGCAGGTTAGAAGTCTAAAAGTTTCAGTCGAACGATTAGGAAATGAGTGTTATCACAAACCAATTGTACCAACACAACTTTTCTAGCTACTGCAGTAATGGAGTGAACTAACGGTGACATATGCTTTTGCTTCTACAGTTCAACCAAATTACAATTGGAGGAGCTGCGTTGATGGAATAACGAAGAAAACAAAAAACAAAAAGAGAGATGGCTGGAACACAGAACCTTACCTTCAGGGGTTTCAGATATGTAATTCAATGCTTCTTTGAACTTTCTCCCAGTTACTAATTGTGATGTTTTCAAATCATCAGACAATTTATCATTGAACTCTTGTTGGAGCTTAGTGATGCATGCTTGTGCCTCACCAGTGAGCTGAGCAATACTCTTGACACTATTAGCTAACCCTTTTTCAAATGGTAACAAAGCAACCTCACAGTCTTGCAATGTCTGACTTCATCAATGACCACAAATTGAACCATAAAAGTTATCTCCTAACACTAACAGGAAGAATTAAAGATCCTCAAAAGATAATAACACCTGATAAATGAACCAAGCAGTCTCAGAAGCTTGCTCGAGCACGGATAATTCTGTTTGAGGTGATATTATTCAAACTTTCAACTTCCATTACGATTTCCGGGTTTGGTTAGTATCATGAAAGACTAAGAAAAAAGGATCAAGTAATGAGTATGCATGGTCATCAATGTAGTTAAAAGCGCGATTCTACTTAAAAGCGGAAAAGAGGTAAAATCGAAAAGCGGCGAATCAAAGCGTAAAAGCGTAAGTTTTTTATGCATCCTATATAATAGTTAAAATAATGTTAAGTACAACATAAACTATGTAAAATATGAGTTCACAGAGTTTAGATAAAAGAAAAAATACCTGCAATTCATGTCTAAATTAGAACAAACTTATAACATCTTAACAATAAGGTCATAAACATAAATCGTAACCCACAAACGAGTTAAGAATCCAAATTCTCACAGGCTGGTTTAAGTTTACATAATGACATATGAGTTTAATAATCCAAGTTCTCACAATCAAAGCACACAAATGTTATAAAGGATAGAAGGAAAACTACATCAATTCATCGGCTTCCACATTTGCATCCAAATCATCATCATTATCATCATCACCACCATTGCCATCAACATCAAGTGGACTACTATATTCATGATCATCCTCATCTCTTCGAGCACCAACACCAATAGC